GCCCGGCCACCACCAATCTCACGTCGTTTTCTGCCCCAACAGTAATTATAAGAATAATAATGGATAAAAAGTCATTGATTTAGGGAGCCTCAGGTAGCATTTTCTGCTTCTGATGGAAAATCTACCGGACTGCACGCGCGGTCAGGGTTGGTGCGTAAATATCTCTTGGTCTTGTTTTTTTAGAAGTACCCAATCCTATCCTCTCGTAGGAGTCATGCATCACCAATGCTCGAACCCAAAAACGCTCAAGAACCTCTCCTGAGATATAAGCAAACCTAAGCTGAATTAATGATGAATCCGCATTCAACAAATTAATTATTACAGCAGGTGACCGAGATTGTCTTCTGTTTATATGTCAAATATAGTTTGAAAGCCTATGTGAGAAGACAAAAGTTTTCTAATTATTTCACTAATTTATAATTTTAATAGGGGTCTTCTTAATTTTATAATTTTACCCTATTTGCAGCCGTCTCACACAGTTAATATATATTAAAAAAAAAATTGATTTTCACCACGAGGATCGTAGGGGCCAACATATTGATACTAAAGAGTTAAATTTCTTATTAATTTTAACACAATTTTCATCGTGTAATTAATGTTTCACATAAAAAAAAATTAAAAAAAATTCAAATTTGTACATGATGGACACTAGTAGAGATTGATGAACTTGTACACAGAGGATATATTATAAGGACAATGTTAGATGTACCAAATTATTATTATTATTATTATTATTATTATTATTATTATTATTTATCTAATGCTTTACATACACTCACAATAAAGGTGTGAAGACCACATGTTGGCATTATTTTATTCACGCGGGATCTACGTGCTTGTGAAAGTAGGTAAACCAAAGTATGTACACTTAGAATTATCCATATTATATCGTATAATGCATACTAAAGAAGATGGATAACTAATCAATATACCAAGATTCTAATGGTACCTTATTTTATTAATTCTAAATAGCTGTAAACGTATATCTTTGAATTAGGAAAATTACATTATTATACCCCAATTTATTGCCCAAATAACAAGCTGGTACTAACTTTAAAAAGAGCAAGTTGATCATATTCCTTACGGTTATTCTTGATGTATAGGGAGGAACCCTTCCAGAATACACACAAGAGGGTGTGTGGGATGAATATTTTTTACAATTTTTTTACTCACATGGGACCATCCCATGTGAGTGTTCTATAATTCTTCTGCCCAGAATTAGTCTGCACACAAGACTAATTCTATTCCTTATAAGAAGATAGAATTTAGGTGAGAAGAAATTAATTAAAAAACTCTGTTGTTTTTCCTATATGTCAATATAATCTTCCATGCATGTCAAGTGAATTATCGACTTGTCAAGCCTCAGCACTTGATGAGTGTATTTTACTCACAAGTTTATGTCAAATTTACCTTGATTGTGAGTTAGATTTTGCAAGTATTGAACGTTTTTAATGTCTTTATTAATCTTGTTTTATAGGATTGTTGAGATGGTGAAAGAGGAGAAATTTCATCAAATAAAGCTATTGAAATGGATTGAAAAGAAATTGTAAATAAAATGACAAAAGAGGTAAAACACAATGTAGATTGGACGAGTGGCGTCGAGGTGCCACAAGAAGAAGCGGAAAATCAACGAAAAGGGACAAGATTCAAAGTTTGGGGACTAAAGCGTAAATATTTAAAAGTTGTATCGAACCTCATGATGCATATTCGAGAATGCTAGGGGCCAATTGGATACAATTAGAAGTCAAAAGGAATTAAATATGATCAAAATATGGACATGGTGTCGATTTTCAACCACTTAAGTACACTTAGGATTTTCAGCTGAAGATTGAACTCCATTTTTGACCTAATCAATATTCGAATTGGAAAATAGCTATTTCAAGAAAAATTGTAGTCTTTTGAATTAACTTTACAAAACAACTTCAATCGTCTCAATCGGACATCGAAAGAGAGAGGTATGATAAAAATCCTAAAAAAAAGTGATATATGTCTTTTACTCAAGAGCAGCACCATGATGTCTATCTTTTACTCGAAAACGGCGCCACCATCATGAAGCTGAGGCGCCACCAAAATAGAGCTATGGCACTGCTCTTATGGTGCAGAGGCTCCACCTGGGTACATCTAGGGAATGTTTTGGCCCGTTTTGAAGTCCATAAAAATCCTACTTTTGAAACACACGTGAAAGCACCTATAAATATAATTTTCTCACACTTTTGGAGGGGATTTCACACATTGACAGTAGGAGAACACAACTTGAGAATTAGAAAGTAAATTCAAGAGGAGAAAAACAACAATTCAAGTGTTTGAAATCAAGATTTGGAACAAGAAGAAAAACTTGGTGTAAGATTCATCCACTCCTCTATGTCTAAATTCAAAACCCAATGATGGACTCCGCTATTGTAATTTATTTTTCTTCCTCTATTATGAATAACTAAAATTCTTGTTAGAACGAATAATGTAATATACTTAGAACCATTTACATATTTTATTTAAGATTCTTGTTCTTTATTTATTCATGTGCTGATTTTACTATGAGTTTAATATATTGAATTATTTGATCACTAATTTGATGATTTTGTGAATCCTTTACAAATCGAGAGGTGAGTTTAAGATTTAGATCATATAGTAAAATTCGGTAAATTGGTATAACGTGTAGGGATACTTACACTAATTATTGCAATCATAATTGAATTCTTAGAACAAAAAACTCGTTTAACTAAGGTTCATTCACATAGAGAGTTCTAAATCACTTTTTGTGTACATCCACATATTTTCAAATAGTTGTATAAAAAATCACAACACCTAATTCTTTGTTTATTTTCGATCAAATTAAAGTTAGGAATAATTAAATCAATTGTTAAATAGTAGTTCTCGTGAAAATGATATCTGGACTTTCAGGTTCACTTTATTACTTTTACGATCCTTATACTTACAGGATACAAAAGAGACAAAAGCACCCTAAGGTAAAATTTAGTTAAAATCTATTCATTTACTCCCATTTTAGATTGAACAATGCTATTTGCAGTCGTTCACTACTGCAATCACTCTGCGTGACATATATACATGTGGCCGTTAATGAGTTAATGCATGAGACAAAAAAAAAAGTAACACGTTAATATATCAAATCACAAACTGTCATATAGGATGCCACGTAAGACAACTAATACAATAAACGACTATGAATAATATTATTCTTTTGGATTGGAGGGAAAAGCATGTATGCATTGGAAACAATCAATTTTCTCCTTTTCATATTCACCACCATCCAGACTAAACTTTTCCTTCGACTCCCCTCAACAAATTTTCCACCTAATTCTTTGTGGGTCCAAAACATGAAAACTCCAAAAAATTCACTCTAATAAAATGATAAAAAGGATGGAGGATCATTGATTGAGTCAAGCACACGTCCAAATAATTAAAAGCTCAACTGATAAAAACACAAAGACACATACGTGTGAATAGTAAGAAAAATGCTATTTGTTTACTCGCCCCTCACATGGGGGGCGAAGCCCGCGCACAAAAAATGCGTGGGACCCGCCCTCAAGTGAGTACCTGTAATCGGGCGTGTAAACGCGCGCGTACATGTAGCAGAGCCCAAATAATAACTAGCACATGTACAGAATGACCCATATTGCTGCACAATATGACATTGGTAATCATCCATCTTCATTATACTTTCTTCCATATTGATTAAACTTAATAATATCGATCGAGCTACACTATCAGAAAAAAATGATTGAAACCCTGATCGACCCTCACAATAGAGGGTGGGGCCACTTTTTTCTTCCAATTGTTTATTCACGTGGGGCTCGATAATTGCGAGAGGTGGTCAAAACCTCTGTCATCTTTTTTTCTGGTAGGGAAGCTTTTTTCTAATAATATTTACTTTACTTATAAAAAAATGAGTAAACTTTAATTTAATAATTTTGTGTTCGTTAAATATAAGAATAATTAAGAAATAAGTGATTAACCATACATTATCTCGATGTTCTTTTGATGTGATTTTTATTTCTTTTTTCTTTTTTTGTAGAACGATTTTTTAAGAAAGTTATCTTAAGTTAGTTTTCTCTAAAAAAAAATTTTATTCGGATCGCACTTCTAAAAAAATAATAATAATAAATTCAATTTTTAACTTTTAAAATTTATATTTCAATAGCACATAGCATTGTTGAAGAGAGGGGCAAAATCGAAAGCACAAGTTTCGGGGGAAGTGGAATTGTAGTTGGAGTTGGTGAGATAACAGTCTTTACACGTATTTCCAAGTGATAAGCCATTTTCATGAACTCGTAATCATTGTCTTCCAAAGCAGAGATTATTCTTTTGCAAATCTTGATTGCTATTATCATTATATATTCTCAGCTCTTCTTCCCACTCCCAACCGAAATTTCTTGTTTAGTACAATGGGAATCTATGTAGTAATATAATATTAAGATATGCATATTTCTATTCAAACTTTCAAATTTGTGGGTTTTTGAATAGCCCTCCGAGAACTTATATTCAAAGTGCTTTATATTCATATTATTCTAACAATGTGTAGCACGTTCTAGGTCTTATACAGTGAAGTAGATCGGTTTAAATTAGCATATGAAATTGTTGATAATTTAATATTTTGCGGGCCTTTCGATTTAATTTTAAATATTTCGATTAGGATTTGCACCCTAATAGAAACAAAAAGTAAACACTAATTTCCAAATTTTAAGAGACCACATATATATATATATATATATATATATATATTTTTTTTTTAAAAGAAGACGGAGTAGCTTGTCCTTCTAGTGGCCTTTATTGTGTTTTATAACTTTCTATATATTAAAGATTATGTTGCCCGAATACTTCTGTTCCTCTACCGTCATAAAATTTTAGCTCAACAAATCCAAGGCAAGTCCTCAGTGTCATCTCTATCTGATAGATCATCACGCATAAACGTACAACGACAAACACTACTTTCTTTTGCTTTTCCACTAAAAAAGACTAATCCATCTTTTCTTTTTCTGGTTTTTTGATTGTTATAGATCAACAGAGAAGAGAAAAAGATGATACAGGAGCTGTTGGGTGGGAGTAATGTCGGCTTAATAGGAGGGGAAAGACCTAAACTTTCCACCACTAGTGGAGTTTTTGATGGCTCATCTTCACCCTCACCGTCTCCTTTACCATCTTCTTCCACCACTGAGAACCTGAGATGCCCACGATGCGATTCTTCCTCTTTTGCTTTTCCACTAAAAAAGACTAATCCATCTTTTCTTTTTCTGGTTTTTTGATTGTTATAGATCAACAGAGAAGAGAAAAAGATGATACAGGAGCTGTTGGGTGGGAGTAATGTCGGCTTAATAGGAGGGGAAAGACCTAAACTTTCCACCACTAGTGGAGTTTTTGATGGCTCATCTTCACCCTCACCGTCTCCTTTACCATCTTCTTCCATCACAGCCACCACCACTGAGAACCTGAGATGCCCACGATGCGATTCTTCAAACACAAAGTTCTGTTACTACAACAACTACAACCTCACTCAGCCGCGCCATTTCTGCAAGTCTTGCCGGCGCTACTGGACTAAAGGAGGCACCCTTCGCAATGTCCCCATCGGAGGGGGATGTCGGAAAAACAAGAATACTACCATAATAAACTCTGTTGGAAAATCAAGTGCCGGAAAGTTGAAAACAGTTCCATCAGAAACAGGGAAAACAGGTTTTCTTAGTGGTTTTGAACAACATGCTGATATTTCCACAAACCCTAGTATATGGTCATCCCCTCAAAATTCTCATTTGTTGTCTTTACTGAGATCAGACCAAATTTCTAACCCTAACCCTATAACCGTGAAGGAGGAAGGTGGTTTTTATGGGTCCCACATGAGCTTTGAGTCATCTTTATCGAATGGTGGTTTAAATTCTTGGTCCTTAGATCCAGTTAGTCAGATGGTTACCTCCACTGGGCTTCGCAGTTCTTTTTGGAGCAACAATCAGCAACAGATTCAAGCGACCAATGGAATTATACTGGGAGAAGTTCAAAATAATGGGCTTCAAGAACTTTATCAGAGGCTTAGATCATCAACATACTGTTATCCAGAACATGCCCCAGTAATTCTTGGAAATGTATCTTCTGCACCATCAATGGCTTCTTCCACCATTTTGGAGTCAGCTCCAGTAGCTGGAGGTGAATTGGGTTTCTGGAATACCGGTCTTCCTCCGCCAACTGATCTAGCCACAACTAATGGTGCATACCCTTAATTAGGACCCCTTAGTTACCTAAAATATTTCTTTTCTCTTTTATTTTACTAATCAAGAAACTAGGGTTTGGTATTTCTTGATTTATGTCATTTGGGGTGTGGTATATGAATATTAATGTAGCTAGCATCATGTTTACAGTTTTTAATTATGGTGTGTTTTTCTCCCTAATATTTCGTTTATGTATGTCTGTTTTATTAAAGAATCCTGCCGATCCTTAATCTTACTTTTGTTGCTGAATCCTTTCACACCATTGCAATGTTTTCTTAACTAAGAAAATCAATTCACTTATAACAGAGAAGATTTGGACAAAAATCTAGTTATCTAATTAATTAATAATATACATATTGAAGTGCTGTTAAAAAATTAAATTCTCCATCGTGGAAGAATCTATATATCTTGGTATACTCAAAAAATGTTCCAGTCTGAGAGTCTGAGTGCTTAATTCAGAGACATGGTGAGTTAAGCATGCTAGTGGGGTGCAGCTTTGACAGATGAAGTGGACATGTAGATTCTTTACTTGTGTTTTTCTATGAATATTGAAAAAGTGATGAATTGGATGAAGTGTTGAAGCAGGCTTTGCGGGACGAGTTTTCTAAAAGCAGCAATTTGATTCTCACAGTAGGAAGGATCCAATTCCACCTGCACCCCTAAGTGAGTAAAACTTGCTATTCTACAGCACGTTTTACGATGTATAAATATTCCCTGATAGAATTAATTAACCCAAAAATGTATAGTTTAATGTCTCTGTGTTGCGATCTTCTAACTAGTTTTTGAAAATAGAAGTTAACTAATAAAAAATACAAGACATTTACCTAAGTGTTATGCATTAAGTCCAATTGATTTAAGTTTTAAACATTTTTAATTTGTTTAGTGCACTTATTTTGATAAGATTTTAGTGATTTGCAAATATAGGACATTTATTTTGTAAACACTATTCTAATAAATTATAATAAATAATAGGGTCCGTAGATTTAAATTTTTGTGAGTTGTTAATCACAAAAAATCGTGATTGTGATATATAAATTATAATATGACTGAATTTTAAATCATTCGTGATCGTAAGTTATAACGAGATAAAGACATCATTATTATGGATAGACCAGAGACACTTAAATGAATACACGAATGTTTTGTTATAGAACAAAACATTGGAGACCAATTTAAGAGATTCCACATGAATAATTATTTGAGTGTCCATGGTTAACCCCCAATGTTCGATAGTGAAATTGGTCTTTTGACTTTAGATCATTATAGTGCCTTATATGAAACCGGTCAAATTTTGGTGATGTTGAATGTTACTCTGCCAAAGGCCGCTAATACAACATCGTTCGCGTATGTCAAAAATCATATGAAGATTGTGAATAATTAATATAGGATTTGTCACTTTTAAATAGTTAGAGATTACAATCTATATTTCATTTAGTTAAGTTGATAATGAATACTTGATCAATGTGTATTCATAAGTCGAAAAGGAGTTTCGACTTAAATTGACTTAATAGTGAAATAAAAGATATGATCAATAACTGAGTTTGACACATATCCATATCTCGTAGTTGATTATATTGACTGACGGAATGATTATAGTTTCATGGTAAACGAACAAATTTGATTTTATCATACCACGTAATATTTTTCATCACGTGTATTGCCCTGACACAGTGCTAGATAACAATCTGAGACGGCTAATATGAATTGTGATAAATTAAAAATGAGTATTTTAATTTATTGATTTTGATTAGATTAAAATAATAAATCACGTTGTTTGACATCGTAATTGGGAACCTAATAGGTCATACACAAAATGAGAATTAGAATAATGAGATTTATCAATTAATTAATTGACGAGTGTTGGATAATTAATTAATTGAATTGCTTGTTAATAGATCCACAATAATTAATTAATTCATGGACCAAATTTAATTAATTGGATTTATTAAATATTTGACCGACTTGAGTTAAGACAGAGGTCAAGTCTACTTGGACTTATGTTAATAGGTTGCTTGGATTTGAAAAATCTACAGAGAATATAATTTCACAATCTTGCTAGCACAATAAAAGAAATCCCTAGTTCTCTCTATCTTGTTTCTGGTGTGGATTTTCATTGAAAAATGGATGATTGGACAGTTGTAGATTGCAGATCAGAAGTGTTCTTCAAGGAATTAATCAAAGATATAATTTTTTCTCACAGTTTTTCTATAAGCAAGAAGAAGATCATTGGTAGAAAATTAGAAATTGAAATCTATTTTATTTTTCGCTATACATGTTAAGTAAATTCCCAACAATTTCTCCTATGGTGATTTGATATGAAAAATGAAGTGAAAACGCATGCATTACAGACGAGTAGCCAAACAAATTCATCCACATTTCCATATGCTTAATGATAAAGTTGTTTCACACACTTATCTAGATTATTGCAGATCTTTGTGCTCATATTAGTTTATATATTATTTTTATAGGGAAAACCTCAACATTGATGTGAATTGAGAATACAAAAATAATGAAATTGAAGAGGTGCCGGGAAGTTTGAACTTGATTGGAAGTCTTGAAAATACAATTTAGATGAATTCACAAACTTTTGGGATCAAATTCTACTTTTGGAGAAGTTTGGGGACCAGCTTGAACATTCTCAACACTTTGAAGGATCAAAGTTGAAAAAATAGAAGCTAAAAGGATCAAAGTGAAAGATTTTGAAAGATGAACGATTTTTCGGAGGCAATTGGAAGTAGCAGGACCTAATGGGAATTATTTGAAATTGAAGGGACAAAAAGTGCAAGAAAATGGACTAGACTCGTACAGAAAAAGTGGACATGGATCAAACGTGAAAATTTGACGGATGAAGGACCTGTACTGCAAATTGAACTTCCCACAGGCGAATCTTGCACGGCCCTTGCAGGTTATCGAAGCTTAGCAGGATCCTAGGCGCGACATTTGATGCCCTATTTAGATGCGGTTCGAATTATTTTTTTTTAATAGTTTTTATCGATCCATGCGCAATTTCAGGACTTCTTGAGACTTTATGAATTTAAAACCCGTCCTAATCCATTATTTCAAATTATAAAGGGTGAAATAATATTTTTTTAAGAATGGATGGTTGAAAAATAAGAAAAAAATTTGATTTACATTTAATATTATTTTTGAAAAATTGTGTGATTAAAAATAGAAGAGAGAAAAATGAAATTTAATTTAATAGGCCAAACGGAGCATATTCTCTACCATTCGCAAGATCTCAGAATACATCATCGAAAATTCTTTGAAGGCAAAACACAAATTATCTCATCGCTGAAGAAGAAATCCGTCCAATTTTTTTTTTAAAGCTCAGGACAAGGAAAATAATGTACAAAAATTACTATTATGGCTTTGTTTGAGCCACATGTTTTGAAAAAAAATACATTCTTAAATAGTGATTTGATATTATTTCAATAATACATTTTTCAATAAAATAATATTACATATAAATTTAAAATTTTACCTTATTTTTTAACCACACATTTTTCATTAATACATTATTCAGAAATACATTTTTATAAAAATAATGTGGCTTATACAAGCGCTATATTTTATTTTAATTTAACTACAAATTCTCAATCTCAACTTTACCAAAATATTAAAAATTGTAGAATGAAAAAAAAAAAAAAAGGAAAAACACGAGCATGCGCACGCCACCCGACCACAGCCCAAGAAGAGCTTAATTTAGCCCACAATTCAGCATAGGAACAACAGATTAATCCTCCATTTAAAAGTCACATTTCACAACTAACAAATTTCTAGAAAACTTTCAAAAATCAGGTAATATTTATAATATATTATAACTAATTTATTTACCCCACCCCACCCCACCCCACCCCATCCACCCATCACATCAAACCTTTCCACCCCACCCAACCCCACCCACTCATCACATCAAACCTTTCTCTTTTCTCTCTCTACCCACCCCCACATCTGACGACGGCAACAATTTCAACGATCATTTTGACGACTATTTCGATAACTGTTCGCCTTTTCCGATGATTATCTTTTCTCTTATTTTTTGACAATGACCTGTAAACAGTTCCATTAGATATATGATCTATGACTAGTTCTATTGAATTCGTGACCTAATTAGATGGGATGAATATGCATATGAGCAATTTCAAAATTAAGAAATAAAGTTTGAAAGTTCAAATCAAATACTATTAAAATTTTAGTTATGAAATAATTAATCAAAAAACTATTTTTGTAATTAAATATATTAAATTCACAAATCTTTTTTTTTTTCTTTTTCTGGACAATAACATGTGACCTGTATACATTGTGATAAATAAAATATGATTTTTAACCTGTGACTTGTTACACGTGACTTGCAACATAAAAAGTAACCTGTAAATTTGATCCGTGACTTCTAAAAAATGACATGTGACCTATTAATATTGATCTGTGATCTATTTATACTGATTTGTGACTGGTGAACTCAAACCCGTGATAAATGAACTGTGACTTTAACGACGAATTGTGACTCATAACATATGAACTGTGACCTTATGTGTTCATGACCAAATTTCAAAAATCAGATTTTTTTTAAAATTTTATTTATAAACAAATTTATTGAAAATATATTTTATTAATTAAATATATTAAAGTCACAATTATATACAATTAAATCAAAACTTTTATTGATCACAACTCATTTATTCATTGCAAATTATCAAATTAATTAGCCACAATTAATTTTTAGGTCACAACTTAATAAATTGAGAGTCATAATCACAATTTTTAGGCACAAGTCATTTAATTGTTACAAATTAACCAATTATTGGTCACAAAATCAAAACTTTTACTGGTCATAATTCATTTATCCATTATAAATTATCGGTCACAACTTAATAAATTGTATGTCACAATCACGATATTTAGGTCATATATTATTTATTTCTAAACTAACCGATTATTGGTTACAATTAACAAAACAATTGGTCACACATTATTTGTTAGTCGCAAGTAAGCCAATTTATTGGTTATAATCAACCAAATCATCGATCACAAACACCCCAACCCATGCCATCCAACTCACAACTACCACTACCACTACCACCATCACCATCACCATCACCGTCACCGTCAACCCCACCGCCATCCTATCCGCACCACTTCCACCTACACTATCAACAAAATCCACCCTAAACCCCAACACCATCAAAACATGGAAACCACCATCACCACTCCAACAACAAAAATCACAACTTATTT